AGTGTGTGGGGGTAGTCTAGTGGTTAGTGTGCTGGGGTAGTCTAGTGGTTAGTGTGTTGGGGTAGTCTAGTGGTTAGTGTGTTGGGGTAGTCTAGTGGTTAGTGTGTTGGGGTAGTCTAGTGGTTAGTGTGTTGGACACACTCTGCACTTTTCAGCTGTGGAGGCACAACAATTTGAGAGTCAAGCATGCTATTCAGTTAAGAATGGTCACATACGCATTAGATACCACTGACCAGTTGCCCTCCCTCTTGTCAGCAATTGGGGTTGGTTATGCCTGAACCGTAGAAGCCATTTACCCCATGTGTTATGTTCAATTTTAAAATACCAATACCATAAACAGCTATCAAAGCAAATAAATGGATTACACTTACCTAAATTTTCCAAACAGTTATATGTGGGTTCTAAATGAAAAAAAAGAAAAAAACTATAACAGCAACATCATATTACCATGTATGCACTTAAAAAATGAAGACAAATATCATGCAGTTAGTCTGTAATAAATAAAGTAGTCATGAAATTAATTCTTTAAAAACCAGTACAATATGTATATCTTTATTCAGGTATATTCAAGTAATAATCTTTCAAATTTCCACACAGTTTATTTATGTAGTTATGACATTCTCAGTGACCAGATGTCTTGAGGTTTAAAACATGTGCTAATCCTTTTACACAAATAAAGGGTACATACTGTAAACTTTCTTCATAAATCTCATGCTAACATGTGTGGACTTCTTGGAAGGTAGCCTGTTCAGACTTAGCTTGGCTTACAACTGTGTGGTCTCTGAACATACAGGATACCACATTTTAATTTGTTTCACCAGGATATTTAAGTCAGGTATTTCCATAGTTCAAGTTCTTGAGTTTGCTCTTTATTGTCTACTCTAGCACCCAGACAACACAGAAAAAGAAGCCTGGCCAGTTTTAGTAATAGAATATTGTATTGGTAAATAAAGACTTTTATCTTTAAAACCACACTTGTGATAACTTGTTTGTCTGCTGTCCATGTTCACGTTCTTCTTTGCTTAACAATTCTGAACCTACATCTTGCAGAAACTTTTGGCTTTTCTACTGGACATCAGTGTACCTGAACACCATAAGTGTACACAAGAGTAGTAGGTTAATAACTGATAAATGTTATAGGCCAGTGGTCCCCAACAGGTAGTCTGTGTACCACTTAAGGCCTTAAAAAATCTGATTCAGAACTAGTATTATGATGAGTTGTAAATGTAAGAAAAATTGTAATTGGGTAATGATGTATACCCCAACAGGTAGTCTGTGTACCACTTAAGGCTTTAAAAAATCTGGTTCAGGACTAGTATTATGATGAGTAGTTGCAAATGTAAGCAAAATTGTAATTGGGTAATGATGTATACCCCAACAAGTAGTCTGTGTACCACTTAAGGCCTTAAAAAATCTGATTCAGGACTAGTATTATGATGAGAAGTTGTAAATGTAAGAAAAATTGTAATTGGGTAATGATGTATACCCCAACAAGCTCGAGTCCAAGCCTTGGCTTTATTGTCAGACTCAGGGAATAGTTAGTTAGTTAGCTAGGTGGGAGGAAACTGAAAGTTTGGTTTATGTAGCCAAATGCTACAAGTGATGTGCTACAGGAATCTATGCTGGGGGCTGTTCTTAATCCTCATTTATACAAAAGTCAATGTTGATCAAAATTATTAATGTTATTGATAACTGTGATTTTTTCATGTTTAATTGCAAGAGATAAGGGTCATAAATTAAAGACTTGGAAAGATTAGACACATCTTCAGTTAAGACAGTTTTAAAGACTTGGGAAGATTGGACACATCTTCAGTTAAGACAGTTTTAAAGACTTGGGAAGATTGGACACATCTTCAGTTAAGACAGTTTTAAAGACTTGGGAAGATTGGACACATCTTCAGTTAAGACAGTTTTAAAGACTTGGAAAGATTAGACACATCAACTGTTAAGACAGTTTTAAAGACTTGGAAAGATTAGACACATCTTCAGTTAAGACAGTTTTAAAGACTTGGAAAGATTAGACACATCTTCAGTTAAGACAGTTTTAAAGACTTGGAAAGATTA